GCCGGGTGTCGGGGACGGGGTCCCGCGGGGGTGCCGGGGTCGGGCGGGAGCGGGGGTTGATTGCGGGGTCCGGGGGTCGGCGCCCCCGCGGGAGGGGGTCCGGGGGTGAAATCCCGGCCCCGGCTTTGCCCCCGGGGGTCCCCAGGTGACAACCCTGATGCCCTCGTCCCGCTGCCATGGCAGCACATAACCACATTCAGCCCGCCGATACTCCGTCAACCGCATATTTGCGGTGATCTCAACGAGTTGAACGACCTTCTCGAAGGCCAACTCGTTGACCTTCTTCGGGTGAATGCCCTCGTGGACTGCCCAGTTCCTCTCTGTTGGAGAGGCGCAAGATCACATGTGCATCACCCGAAGAGCGCAACGCTGCAACTCTGGCGCGCCCGACCCGAACCGAGACCACCAAGACGCGCACTCAATCGTCTCGCTGTCGCCGCTGCATGCGCGCCCACGAGCATGCCCCTCCGGCCGGCCCCAATCCCCGAACCTGCCCTGTTGAATGTGGAAGTTCTCAAACTGCCGACATGCAAGGATGTACTCTGCACCCTCCAACTCAAAACTCGTCTGCGATAGAATGTACCTCTTGGCTTGCCCCACAAGCCAAGCATCGTACTGATCTACCTGGCCCGAAAAGTGGCGAACGTGTCGCATGCGGGGGTTCAGTAAGAACCCCGCGCAGTGAGCCGGCTCAAGCATGTGCTGTATGCGAGCCTGCACACGCCTGATGATCCGGTCGGCGAACGACTTTCCCAAAGGGGCGCATGCGTCCGTGACACGGCGGACAAGATCCTGCGTCCACTCGATCATGAGGGACATGTACTTTCCTCCACGATCCATCCGCCTAAGCAACTCCATGACGGGCTGCATGATATGGACGATGGTGGCCACCCTCTGCCACCATGGATTCCATCTGATCTGTCGGCGCGCCCAACGCGCCATGACACACACATCGGCGGACCACGCGATGGAAGCAAAAGCCCGCGCGTCATCCCCTCGCATCATGTCCTGCAGAGTGTCCTGCAGGGCCAACAACCTCTCTAGCATGGAGTAAACAGATGCAAACCGCGTCTCGTAAGAAAGAATAAGCCCCTCGTTGGGGCTGCGTGTCCTAAAAAAATGAAGGGTGGCCTCGTGGGTTTTGCAAAACACCACCAGCACACGAGCGCGTGTGATCGCATCCACAAACGCGTCGCAACTCGTCCCCATGTCTGACAACAATTGTTGCAGACATGGACGGAGCACGGGAGCCAAGTGATCCTCCTCAGTGCAGGAGGCATGGACGGCGAGGCCAATGCCCTTGCAGCCCCCACATAGGMAGAAGCGGAGTYAGTGCATATCGCATTGATCCGYTGCGGCCCGCCGAAGCTGAACTCRTGGAAGATGGTAACCCATCTCTGATGAACGTGCACTGCATCGCCCGCCTCGCCCTCTCGATTGATCGTCATGTACACGACGACCCCTCGCGAGCCAGCGGCAAGGAAATTCACGATCGGTCTCCCGTCTCGTGATTTCCTCCCATCGGAGAGGAGGGTGGCACCAGTCACCCAGAATGGTTGCCTCACCTCCTCCAACTCCTCCGCCAGCTCCGCACGATGGGTGTCCACCGCCCGCATACTCGCAATCTCGCAGTGGTTGGGGAGCACAGCGTGCGGGGAACTGCCAGGCTGCTCAAGAAGCACCTGTTGATATGCCTTCCAAGCCTGGTTGTGGAAGGCATTGAAGGAGACCCCGCTGGAATACAGCCAGCAAAGGAATGCCTTCTTGTGGCGAGCAACCCACTCGCCACCGTAGACATCAGTCACCTTCTGCTGGCGAAGCCTCTTTCCTGTTGGGGTGGCAACCGGATCACTTCCTCTTTCCTTCCTCTTGGAAGACCCCTCCGTTGCAGCTCCCTTGCCTGCTCGCCTCCGCCAGTCCTCCAACCTCTCCCCAGTGCCTGGATAAAACTCTGGCACGTCCTCCCGTTCTGGGACTCCCTCCTCGCCCGGGCCACGCGCCTCGCGATCGACGTGGATCACGCCCTCCTCCGTCTCACCGCCTCCACCACCCAAAGGGGGGTCTGGCGCACCATGCCCACCATCTCCCCCGACCCCTCCCTCCACCGGATGCCGCCCCGCCTCTCCTCCCCTTGCACCACCCGTGCCGAGCACATCGAGTTCGCGCTCCGCTGCGTACCTGGCAACCCTCTCCATCTGATCGGCCTCAAACTTCTGTTGACTCTGTCGAGCGATCTCGTACAACGCCTCGTCGCTGACGTCCTTGCAGTAGTTTGCCTGCGAGAAGTGCCTCGTGGCCTGAAATTGGGTCCCTTGGAAAACTTTGTTGCAAAACGTGCAACGGAGCATCATGACCCCCTTGTTGTCGACCTTCTGGCCGACAACCAGGTACCGATAGACAGGGGAGCGGGCCCTGAATGTGTCCTGCAAATGGTCCCCGGCAGGCTCATGCTGACGGCGTTGTGCCCTCCCCATGTCGACCACCCTGGCGAGACAACCCTCGATGACTCCCCCCGACCGCACCCCTGCAACCCAACCCTCGTTAACCGCTGCCCGCCGCAGGGTCCCCCTTCCCCCCCCCCCCCCCCTGCAATCCAACCCTCCTTGACTGCCGCCCGCCTTAGGGTCCCCCGTCTAGCACCCCCCACCGTCTCCCCCGCTCGCGGGAATCCGCGTGCAGTCGCCCGAACCACCACAAACGCACCGCGGGTCCGCGCGCTAAACTGCGTTTAACGCCGTTCAAACGCGTTAAAACACGTTAAATCGCGTTAAACGCCGTTGAATTAAAAATTCAACGGCGTCATTCGGGAACGCGCATGCCAATTCGCAGCCATCGCCGCGCACGCTCCTCCGCTGCTCCACCTTAGTCGAGTCGACGCCGCCGCTCCGATGCGCTCCACGCTCCCTACAACGCTCCTCGCTCCCT